GGGGGCATCGAGACAGAGTGAAAGAGACAGTCAGGCAGAAAGAGAGAGGGAGAGAGAAACAGAGACAGATACAGAGACATAGTGAGAGAGACAGAGTGAAAGAGACAGAGATAGTGATGGTGTAGGCCTACCGGTATGCCCTTGACATAATGAGAGCCTGAATCTGCCTTGTTTGGTACAGTAAGCCAAACCAAAGATTCTCCACTACCGGTAGAGGAGAATCTTTTGCCAAATTACAAAATAATTCTACAGCCAGAAGGCTACCTTATCAACTCCACGTGACTGGCCATTGTCCTTTGTTTTAGTAGAGGTTTTATGGCTCTCGCAACTGCATAAGGTCATATGAGCACCAAGGGGTGGATGCACAGAATTCTACACAAGTGTAGAATTCTGTGGGTGGATGTCAACAGACGAAGTCCTTACAGAGAATCAGGCTGATCTCTAGGCCTAACTGGTAACTCTGTTCACCTCTCTTGCTTCAGCAGCACATAGTCTGCTTCGACTATCAAGGCACCCCGGAAGAAGTAGCGGGCCACAAGAGTGCGACAAACATACAAAACAAGTAGATCTAGAGGAAATGGCAAAAGTAAGGATTAGGGAAAAAAAGCAGCAGTTCCCTGTTGTAGATCAGGCACAGTTATGAGCGTGACATTGTTGAATCTGCCCGTTTACAATTCTACTGTGCTTAAAAACAAGTTAATGTCCCTCCCTGGGAATGGCCTAAAGACACTTCAATCAGTAGCATCGCCCCGGGGGAGGGGGTGGTGGTGGTGGTGGACCGTTGTGTTGTCCAATGAGCCCAAATCAAGAAATCAAGGAATAAGTGAAGGGATTTTTCTTATTTCTTCTTCTTTTTCTTCTTTTTTTTTACCTTGGCCTTTACCGTAAATTGTGAATAAAGTTATTCAAATTTTAAATATTATTTAAACGGGTTTTTTTAACTAAAGATTTTTTTACCCCGAATTTTTAGCATTTTAATACTTCGTACTAGAAATATTGACCAAAATCAAACCGCGCAGTGAACTGTTGGGAATGTAACCAACTTGTTTCGCGCGCTCATATAACCTTATGCAACTGCGAGTGCCGTAAAACTCTTACTAAACTACACTAAACGATGATCCCAAAATCAAGAAATCAAGGAGTAAGTGAGGAGTTTTTTTCTTTCTTTT